ACTGCAGCCAACATACAAAATCAATTTTATTTCTATATACTAGCAACAAACGATCAAAAACTATAGTTAAAAAAAATACCACTTACTATGTTATCAAAAAATGTGAATTATTTAGTGATAAATTTGACCAAAGAGTTATAAAAAACCTGTACACAAGAAACTATAAAACAATCTAGAGAAATTAAGAAGACCTAAATGGACAGATATATCATTCTTATGGATTGTCTCAATTTTCTTGTCAATTGATACTTACACTGAACACAATATAAAGAAATGCTAGCAAGCATTCACATATAAATTGGCAAACTGACTCTAAAATTTATATGTTAAAGCAAAAGACCTAAAATGATGAAAATAATTTTGAAAAAGAACAAGGTTGGAAAATTGACACTATCTCATTTTAACACTTATTATGACTTTAACACTTAAATACAGACATATTGATCAGTCCAGAAATTAATCCATATATATAAGGCCAATTGAGTTTAGAAAAAAAAAAGTAATTCAATCATGAAAAAATAATCTTTCCAATAATGGTATTGATCCTATTATATCTAAATAAACAAACCCCAACTCTTACACCATGCCACATTACAGAAATTAAGTCTAAGTGGAAAACAGACCTAAGTGTAAAAGCTAAAACTACAACATTTCTAAAATAAAATAGAAGCACATGTTAGTGACCGTGGGTTACACAAATATTTTTATACAGGACACATAACTTGCAAATATTAAGAAAAAAATGATGTGCTGGACTTCATCAAAATTAAAAACTTTTACACCTTAAAAGCTACTGTTGTGAAAATGGAAAAACAACCCAAAGACTGGAAGAAAACATTTGTTATTTGCTCAAAATACATGAAGAATTCTTACAACTAAAGAATAACAAGACAACTCAATCTTTTTTTAAATGAGCAAAGATTTGAAGAGACCTGTCACTGGAGATATTGATGGCAAATAAACCACTAAAAGATAACTCAAAATCATTAATTACTAGAGAAATGTAAATTAAGTCACAGTGAGATACCATTATGCACCTAGCACAATGGCAAAAACTAAGACTGACCACACCGACTGTTAATGAATGGAACTCCCATGCAATGCTGGTGGGGACGTAAGACAGAGTAACTTTGGAAAACAGTCTCGTAATTTCTCAAAATGTTAAACATACGTCTACCATATAACTTAGCTATTCTTCTCCTAGGTATTTATAGAAGAGAAATGAAAACGTACATCCACGCAAAGACTTGTACATGAATGTTCATGGCACCTTTATTTGTAACAGCCAGAAACTGAAAACAATTCAAATGTCCATCAACAGCTGAATGGATAAGGCCATGTTGGCATGTGTGAACTTCAACAATAAAGAGAAAGGAACTGTTGACACGCACAGTGTTGTGGATGGGTGTCAACGTTATCATGTGGATTGAAAGAAGCCAGACGCCAAAGAGAATCACTACAGGATTCCATCTACATGAAATTCTAGAAACGTGCCTTAGCTTCTTTGTCAGAAGTGACAAAAAGCCGATGTGTAGCTGCCCGAGAAAGAAGGTGGAGAGGGGATGGATTAAAGAGGGGCATGACGAAACTCTTGGGGAGGGCAGAAATGTTTGTCATCTTGATTGGGGTAGATGGTTTCACAGATACAGGTCATAACTAACCAAACCACGCATTTTAAATATGTGCAGTTTATTGTGTATCAATTATACCTCAAGGCTAATTTTTTAAAAGCTTATCCCAATCCTGTGAAGTTAAATCTCTGATGATTATATGTTGTCTCCCCTATTACAGCCTTTTTGAGGACAGGATGGTATATCAGTAAATGTTCTTTAACTGCCTAAAATGAATTTGATACTGAAAGGCTTTCCCCTACATAAATAAAGCATACACCATAGAGAACAAGCCTCCTCAGATTCAACAGGTGTGGTGGACAGACTCCAGATGGCCCCCATGATTTCTGCCTCCTGGTATTCATGCCCTTGTATCCCTTTCCTCTTGAGTGTGCAAGGTATCTTCACTTGCTTCTAACCTATAACATAGGGCAAAGGTAAAAGAATGTATGTGATTACACGTACATCATTACACATAGGCTGGTGGCAGTGCTGGTCTTGCTGAACTCTCTCACTCCCTTGCTGGCTTTGAGGAGGTAAGCGGCCATGCTGGGAAAGCCCTCAGGACAAGGAATGGGAGTGGCCTCTGAAAGCAGAGGGCAGCCTCCAGCCTCTTTGGAACAAGAGGACTTGAAGCCCTCAGTGATACAGCCTCAAGGAACTGAATCTGCCAATGAGCATGTGAGTTTAGAAGCAGACCTGTCCCCAGTTGAGCCTCCGGGTAAACACCCAGCCCTGACTGATACTTTGATTGCAGGCTTCCGGGGGCCCCACCTCAGCCATGAGCTAACGTACAAGAAACTGTGAGATGATACATATGCGTGGCTTTAAGCCACTAAATCTGTGACATTAATGTTTACACAGCAATAGATGATTCACTACGTCTGTGTGGAGGGAGAGCAGAGAAGCAGCGTAGAGGAAGGGGAAATGCATTTGATATTCTTATAATATCTTCTCCATCCAAATACAATGATTAAATTATTCCCAGCCACAAGATGAAAAATAATCGGAGTTAGAGGAAATCAAATTATTTCTTTTAGCTTTTCTTTGGCTGCAAGAGAAATAGTGAAGAAACTTATATATAAGTAGCTTACTTGAAGGCGTGGCATGTGTAGGCTGTAACAAATTTTGTAAAACAAATGAATAAATGCCAGTATAAAGAACTGGTCTAATACCCTTTTAATTTACTTTCACAGTACATTTTGTTCTGCTTTTCAATAATGAGCACATTAGCATTTGAGAATTGTAGCACGTCCATTGAAATGCAAGCAAAGCCTTTTAATCATCCTCGCTGACCACTTCTCGGGGAGGGATCAGAGCAACTCCAGAGGACACCCAATGCCAGAGGACACCCTACACCATCTGCTTTTCTTCAAAGACTCCGAAGAGAAGGACATGCAATTACATCACCTTCAGGCACTCTGAAATGACACCGTTTAGCTGTTTCTTTTGGAAACGCAGGCATATATGCATTCTCCTGTAACTTTTACAAAGCTATCTACCAACGTCATTATACGTTCTCTTCCAGTCCCCAGGAATCATTCCAAAAGGCCGTCTGTGAGGTGCAGACAGTTAGGGTTTGTGTAGTTCTTTGCTTTTCTGTGACTGTCATGGCCATGCCTGGCAAAGACCTTGGTAGACAGCCCCGGGCAAATCATCACCCTCAGAAGTCTTGTTTTCTGCTTTAATTGACATTCAGAATAAATAATTAGGATACCATGGGCAATTAACGTGGTCTCTACTTTTTCATGTTTTTTGCAGTGTGTGGATTTTGGTTTTTGCTGTAACGTGGCCCAGTAAATTAGGTCAAAGAGGAAGTTGTTTCCAGTCAGGATGCATTCTCTGAGAAGGCCGATGTCATAGTTAGTGTTTATACAGCAACCATGATGCTTGGCTTAAAATAAATGATTTTATGAGTAAATCTTTGTTATATAAAACTAGATAAAATAATTTAAATTTTGATACTTATTAAAATGAGGAAAATAATCATTCAAGTATTGTAAATTTGTCTAAACATGTACATATTTAGCATATGAAAGCCTAATCTATACAATACACAAAAATAATTCAATGAACTATTTAGGTTTATGTCTGACCTGAAATTAATACACTGGCCAAAATAAACACTTCAATATGTAACAAAAATTGTTTACCTCCAGAGAACTTAGATAAAACGTTATGTGTATATGGGAGTTGGGCAAGGGAATGATGGGAGATGGCCAAGTAGTATATGTGGGCCATTTCATTTCTTTCTTCTTTTTTTTTTAAATTTTTTAAAATATTTATTTATTTCTGAGAGAGAGAGGGAGACAGAGTGTGAGCAGGGGAGGGGCAGAGAGAGAGAGAGGGAGACAAAGAACCTGAAGCAGGCTCCAGGCTCTGAGCTGTCAGCACAGAGCCTGTGAGATCATGACCTGAGCCAAACTTGTATGCTTAACTGACTGAGCCACATAGGCACCCCTCTTTTTTAATTTCAAAGGTAAATTAACCTAATCTTTCTTTTTATGTCAATAAACTACCTTCTAACAAATTTAGTTATATACAAAGTAGGACCATTCCCAGTATAAATAAATAAAGTAAGCAAATGTTAAGAGCATCGAGAAATCTCAAGATGTTACTAAGAAATTTCTTTATAATAGTTTCAGAAAAAGAAATAGTTTAAGGATTATCCATCATTATTTGAATATTTTCTCATTTAATAAGCATAAGCCAGAAAGAGAGAGAGAGAGAGAAATGTTAGACTGCACATGTGAAATGAAAATAAATTTCCAAGAGTAGCCTGTGAGGCAAGCATGCAAGAGGTCTGGCAGAAACCAGAACACTGATAGAAAAGTTAAAGAACTGACAATGTGGATGAGATTTAGAACTTTCCAGCTTTGTATTTTTTTCTTCCCTCTCCTGCAGCCTGCTTCTATCACTGCCCAGCACCTGCAGCATAGTGTCCTCCGGAAGAAACAATAAGGGGGAGTTTAAGGCCTTCGGGAAGAAGGATGTGACTAGTAAACTTCATGAGGAATGAGATATTCACCTTCCTGCAGCGCCTGGCCTCTCTCATGGGGATGAAGAGGAGTACAAAGTGGCTGCCACAGAAGGATGCAAAATGACGGGGAGCCCGGGTGGTTCAGTCAGTTAAGCATCTGACTCTTGGTTTTGGTTCAGGTCATTATCTTGTGGTTTGTTGAGTTCGAGCCCCACCCCAGGCTCTATGCTGACAGTACGAAGCCTGCTTGGAATTCTCTTCTCCTTCCCTCTCTCTCTGTCCCTTCTGCTTTCTCTGTCTCAAAATAAACTTTAAAAAATGATAATATTAAAAAAAAAAAGGATACAAAATGTCAGAGGCCATCAAGATGGCTCTCCTAGTGCCTCTTCGCCACACCTTGATCCTCTCACCTTCTCCTGAAGCCGGATATTATCCCACACCTTGCTGCACACCATACACTCAAATGCATCAATGTAGTTGTCCTGATGGACGTCTTGTACTCCCCATTTCCGTTCCTTGAGTGCAGTGAGAAGTCGCTGATTGGAGACCTCACCCTTCAGCTTCCATTCTATGTAGGCCTCATACAGTCTATCGTCGTGATCCAATTGTCTGATGTAACTTGCCAGTTCTCTAGGGTGAGCAAATTCAGACACGAGAATAGCACTTCTATTACTTGGAAGCCAGTCAGCAATGCTGGGGGACCCGTAATACACAGGGACCACCCCCAGTTTCAGAGGTCTCCATAACTTCTCAGTGATGTAGTCGTCACACACTGCATTCTCGAAGGCAAGGATAAACTTATACTGTGCGATGATCTTATAAAAGCCATCAGCATCCATAGAGCCTGGATTTTTTAGCTGCGGAGGGAGATCCTTGTTTCGTAAACACTCACCATAGGAATCAACCTCAATGTAAGTCATCAGTTCTCGGACATAGCTGTCCCTGTCTGATGGCGGGTCACAGTCTGACTGGACGTACACCAGCGGAGCAAGTCTTCTTCGAAGGCTGTTTTTGGACCGCAAAGGGACCAGATATCTGAGGGACTTCAGGACTTCTATGCCCTCCAAGTACTGGGTGGTCAGTGGCAAGTGGGAATGCCGGCTGAAGGTGGCAGTGTAGTTGAACAAGGTGATGACAGGCTTGTGAAAGAGCTTGTAATTGTTTTTTGGAGACTCTTCATGAAAAAGGGCCCAGTCATGATGGGCTTTCCGAGGCAGAGGTAAGCTATCTATGTTAAAGTCAGTGCCTAGAAGAAGAAAAGAAAATATGAGTCTGTGCAAAAGAATTTTCGTGTTCGGCTGGCATCTACCTGGTGAGATCAGAATACAGAAGAGCCTGAGGCTATAATGAAGGATGCTCCCAATGTCTGCAAAGTGCCTCGCAGTCAGTCATGACACTTGCACCTTACAAACTGCTCAGGGAGAGGACCGCCAAGGAGAGGGACTCTCTTTCTGATCTTATAAAAAAGAGAAATGGGAGCATTGTCTAGCCTGGTTCTAAAGTGGGAATTTATTCTGCTGCCCCCCTCCGCCAACTGGCTTTTCTTCCCAGAGGTGTTGTCTAAGAGGGGGCAGGCAGGAGAAAGAAAGAGAAAGACGATTCTTAAAAAGAAAAGAGCAAGAGAAAGGAAGCCAGAAAGGGGAACGCAGCCAGCTTGGCATTGACGGACTGAAAAAAAGTGAAATCATGCAAAAGTAGCCAGAATGAATATATGGTATAGATTTTTTTTTCATCCAGAATGATCGATTTCAACAAGGTACAGTGAATCAATCTTAGTCAAAATGGTAGACAAGAGGCTTTTAAAGACAAAACAGCTGATAATAGCACTATGCTACAGACCGAGGCAGGATGGACATGAATTAACAAGAAGGCATAACAAGAAACAAAGAAGGCATAACAGGATTATAATTATGAGCGACTCTTGCTTCCACAGGATTAATTGGGAAACCTTTGAAACACGATCCTGTACAGACAGAAGTGATGGATGTGATAAGCAGTTGTTTCCTGACAGTGTGTATGGAGGAGACTCAATCAGAAAGAAGTGATTTCTGTAACTGAGAAAGAATTAAGACAATACCACAATATGTACCAGAATTTCTAGTGTTCCTGACATTGATGATTTTATGGCCCCTGATTTGAGTTTTTAAATGTAAGGAAATGGCACCAAAAAAAAAAATCTATCTATGACCATCCACTGCAGGGGGGGGGGGAAGCCCAAATAAATGCGTCCAGAGGAATAAAACATATTCTCTAGTAGAATTCGTAAAAATTAATTGTTTAATGCTGGTGCAGCACTCTCTCAAATAAATATATACTCTTTGGTGCCAGCAGTACATCAAGAAGTCAGTTAATCAAGAAAGGCTTTCAAACAATTAAAGATCAAATAAGATTATGGTGGAGGACAGATACTGAGCACAGAAAAACTGCTGAAGAAAATACTACTGTCTTGATACCAGGCTTTTATTCTCAATGATCAGGAATGAAAGACTAACATATAAAAACGATTAAGTAGGGGCACCTGGGCAATTCAGTCGGTTAAGCGTCCGACTCTTGATTTCAGCTCAGGTCATGATCTCACGGTTCATGAGATTAAGACCCACGTTGGGCTCTGTGCTGACTGCGCAAAGAGCCTACTTGGGACATTCCCTCTCTCTCTGCCCCACCCCCACTTGTCTCTCTCTCTCTCTGACAAAATAAATATATGTTTTAAAATGATTATGTATTTTTTTACTCGGCATTGGCCCTATTTGACCTTTACCATCAAAAAGAATAGAAGCGCCTGGGTGGCTCTGTTGCTTAAGCGTTACTCTTGATTTTGGCTCAGAACATGAACTCAGTTCATGAATTTGAGCCCCATGTCAGGCTTTGCACAGACAGTGCGAGACTGTTTGGAATTCTCTCTCTCCCTCTCTCTCTGATCCTCCCCTACTGTGCTGTCTCTCTCTCAAAATAAATAAACATTAAAACAACAACAACAAAAAAGAACATTCGTCTACACACCTGAAATTTAATGACACATAGAGTTAGATGCTCAGCAAAAGTTAACAAACAAACTGGAAGATGTGAAAGGAGAGAACTGGAGAAGAAAGGCAATTTGCCCATGAAGGGGTTGCTGGTCAACTGGTCAACAATAGGAAGAGGAACCCATATGCTTGAGTTCAAGCCTTAAGTTTCCACTGAAGGCATGGCAAGAATCAAGCCCATCTGCCTGGGAGAGGAAGAACTGGAGTCCAATCCACAAGAGTCAGAGGCAGTGATCAAGATACAAGATTAAGATTGGAGGGGTATCCAGGGTGCCTGGGTGGCCTAGTCGGTTAAGCGTCCTACTTTGGCTCAGGTCATGATCTCACAGTTCATGGGTTTAAGCCCCGCGTCGGGCTCTGTGCTGACAGCTCAGAGCCTGGAGCCTGTTTCAGATTCTGTGCTCCCCTCTCTCTCTGACCCTCCCCTGCTCATTCTGTCTCTCTCTCTCTCAGAAATGAATAAAACATTTAGAAAAAAAATTTTTAAAGAAGGGACTTATTCCTTGTATTTAAAAAAAAAAGATTGGAGGGGTATGATTAGAACAGAAGTGGGTCCGTAATTAACAGGAGGGGCAGGCACAGGTGTCTTGGATGAGCACATCAGACGCCAGTGGCTGGCTCTTGGCTGCTCAACGGTACATGAATGCTTCTGTAGTTGCCTCGCCCAGGCTGTGCCACAGCAAGTATCCAAAATGCAGAAGAAGACAGCGGCAGGACCCGACACCTGCTCCCTGTGCTTCAGAGACAGCCTGAGTGTCATCTCTGCTTGTCCACATCAGTTAAGGATAACAGGCACTGAAAACAGCTATGTCTACATCTTTCTGTGGCCAGTTTCTAGGTCCACTCAGGCTATATTCATAATATGAATGGGACTTGAGACTGGTACCAACTACGGGCCCCTCATTCACTGTAACGAGGAGAGGAGGGCTTGCCAGCTCGTTATACCTTTCGCCAAGTTCTACTGGAGCCTTCAGGTGGGAAGGAAGGGGAGAAGGGGAGGGGGTCCCGTGTATATGCAATCTTTAGTAGTAACAAAAGCCTGTGGAATCGCAGCAAGATACATCCATTTATATTCATGCTGCAAAAGAGAACACAGCTTTTTAAAAATGAGAGTGTGAGGCTCTAGTATAGTCATCTGAGTTCTGTTTAGTTTGTAGGAGTGAGGCCATCTTTAAAAGCGCGGGAATTCCTCTTTAACAGAAAGGAAAGTTAAAGGAATCTAACTTTCCAGAAACCTTTCCCATTATTTTTTACCTTAAAAAGTATTTCCTAACTACTTCCCTGAGATACATACACAACAGACACATACAAAATCATATTAAAATTGACTTTTAATCAGACTCTTCCAAACTAAAATTTTCTGGGAAAGATTTTTAAAATATGGCATTTTGCCCAGGGAGCTTCTCCGCCAAACCTACAGCTTCAGACTGTCAACCATCAAGAATACTGAAATCAGAACCATAACAGCCCTAAACTACAGCTGATCCTTGAACAACACAGACCTGAACTTCACAGGTCCACTTACCAGTGGATTTTTTTTTTTTCAACAAACACTGTATAGTAATGTACATGTATTTTCTTCTATGGTTTTCTTAATAACCATTTTCTTTTTTCTGTCTAACTTTATTGTAAGAATACAGTATATAAAATGTATAATATACAAAATATGTGTCAACTGACTCTTCATATTATCGGTAAGCCTTCCAGGGAACAGTAGGCTATTAGTAGTTAAGTTTTGGGGGATTCCAAGGTTAGACGCAGATTTTCGATTGTGTGGGGTATGGAGCCCCTAAGAACTAACTGTACTGTTCAAGGGTCAACCATATGTCACTGAGGATATCATGGTCTAGAATATGAATGATGATACTGAACAATTTTTATAGATGGCTCAGGGAACAACTGAGTTCTTTACCTCTCGCCAACTCCAGAGAGGGCATTGGCCCTCTATAACAAGAGTTGGAACATTTATTATTTTCTAAAGTTTATTATTTATCTTGAGAGAGAGACAGAGAGACAAAGCACATGAGCAGGGGAGAAGCAGAAAGAAGGGGGTGGGGGGGACAGAGAATCCTAAGCAGGATCCACATTGTCTATGCAGAGCCATACTCAGGGCTCAAACCCACGAACTGTGAGATCATGACCTGAGCAGAAATCAAGAGTCAGATGCTTAACCAACTGAGCCACCCAAGCGCCCCAAGAGTTGGAACGTTTAAAGAAATCAAAGTCAATTAAACTAAGGCAAATCCATAAAAATGTGACTACCTTGCATGCCATTAATTCACTAGTCTTATAGAGTCCTCTTTACCGGCTCTCCCATTTAACAACTTCAGATTCAAACTTTCATTTCTCTGGGTTATTTTGTGTTTACTGAATACTGACAAATTTATTCGCTCCTTTAACTAACAGCTGACAAATAGATCTTAAGCATTAAAGTGCACTGTAAAGGGAATTGCAACTTGGAATACAAATGGAATAAAATTAATGCTGGCAAAGGGCGCCAGATTGCTAACTGCGGAGGCTGAATCTGAAGCGTCAGACAAGCAGAACGACTATACTTTATGTTTATGTGCTCCTTTCCTTCCGCAAGGGCACATACTCTTTTATTATTATTCCTACCCAGACTGGTGAAAACAGAAGGCAACACATATTATTAGCCCCACTCTACTATCGATGTTTGAATCATTTATCTGGAGCTAAAACCCTTAATGGGGACCGGAATTTTCAGACTGGCTAAAGCTAAAGGACCAGAAAGATGGGTGGCCCCACCACAATGCCGATTCTTCTCAATGACTTGCTCCTGGCGCTCCCAGGCACGCCCACCAAAATAGTACCCAGCTTCAACCCAGCCCACTTGGGAAGAGCACACACCTTAATTAGGAAAAGAAAAATGCCCCCTCACAATGTCCTCCAGAAGTCATTCCTGTTGGTTTTTTTTTTTTTAACATTTATTCATTTTTGACAGAAAGAGTGTGAGTGGGGGAAGGGCAGAGAGAGAGAGAGAGAGAAAGGAGGGAGAGGGAGAGAGGGAGGGAGAGAGAGAGACAGAGTCCAAAGCAGACTCCAGGCTCTGAGCTGCCAGCACAGAGCCCGACTCGGGGCTCGAATTCACCAGCCACGAGATCATGACCTGAGCCAAAGTCAGACACTTACCAACTGTGCCACCCAGGCACCCTAGTAATCCCTGTTTGTAAAAAGAACTGTAACATAAAACTGTGTGCCCCAC